ATCCCCCCTCTCCCACCCTCACAGCCCCTCCCGGCCCCACATCGCCCCTCACAGACCCCTCATTCGCACCGGGCCCCGCTCCCAACCTGGGCCGCCGCCGCCGCGCGCGCCGCCACATTCCACCACAGCAGGCCCCGCCTACCTCCGCACGAGGCCACGCCCACCCATTGCTTATTACCCAAGCCCCGCCCACCCTTGGCCACACCCACCCACCACTTATTATCCCGGCCCCGCCCACCCTTGGCCCCGCCCCGCCGGGAGGGTGGGCGGGGCCAAGGGTGGGCGCGCGCTGGTGGCGCCACCCTCGCCCTTAAAATCAACCCCAAAAAATTCAATTTTCGTCACCATTTATCCAATTTTATTAATTCCAGTGGCACTAATACAGGCGGCGATGGGCACGACGGACAGTCACGCTGCAGATAAGGCATCCTCATCCCCTCACTCTTTCTCTCTCCCCCTGTTTTCCTTGCCCTCCCTTTTTGATTTAAGCACGTCCCACCCCCTCTTCTGGGCCATTCTGCAGCAGTATTTTCTTTTTTTTTTGAGTCAAATAAATACAGAATTGGGCAGATCTAGTGGAAATGTTTTAGTTACAATGGCAAAGATGAGTCATGTGCAACACAGAAACCTATAAGGCTTTTTTTTTTTTTTCCTTTTTGTTTGTTTTCCTCATTTGAAGTTCTCAAAATCGCTATGAAACCCATTTAATTAACAAGATGGTGGTCACAGGCGTCTACCCCCTGGCGGGCATGGGTGATAACGCTAATTAATTAATTTTTTCCTGTTCTCCCAGAGTTCCATGAGTTTCATTAGAGTTTGTCCAGGAAGTTGTCGAGGGCGGGGATTCCTTCCTTCAGCCCTTTGCGTTTGCGGGTCTCGGCCACCACCTGGCACGGCCGGCTGGCGCTGTCGAAGGGGTCCCCGGGCAGGATCTGCCAGTGGTCAAAGACGCACTGGGGGAAGGCCTGGCCTCCCGTGTTGGACCTCAAATCTGCTGTGAAACCTGGGAGGGGAAAGAGAAAAGGTCAGACAGGAATGGGCGCAGTTCAATGTTGCTTTCACAGATAGAGCAGAGGAACCCGGAGCAGCCCTCAAACGCCTCCCGAGATCCCAACCAGTATGAGGTGGGAATGGAAAAAAGGTTCCCTGAAGTCCCTTCCAAGGGCCTAAAACTGGAGAGGGACTTTGGACAAGCACAGGGAAGGACAGGACACAGGGAATGGCTTCCCACTGCCTGAGGGCAGAGATGGATGGGATATTGGGAGGGAATTCCTGGATGGGAGGGTGGGGAGGAGCTGGGATGGAATTCCCGGAGCTGCTGTGGCTGCCCCTGGATCCCTGGCAGTGCCCAAAGCCAGGCGGGAGCAGCCGCGTGTCGTGGAAGGTCTCCCTGCCATGGCAGGTGTAGCACCAGAAGACCTTGAGAAGTCCCATCCAACCCAAAATGTTCTGCAACCTTGGTCTCCTCCCAGTCAACACTTGACAGGATGAGAGGAAACAGGTCTAAGTTGTACCAGGGGAGAGCAGGAGATTAGGAAAAGTTTCTCCAGAAGGATGGTCAAGCACTGGCACAGCTGCCCAGGGCAGTGCTGGAGTCCTCACCCCTGGAGGGGTTTCAAAGCCGTGTGGATGCAGCGCTTGGGGACAGTTCAGTGACAGGTGAACAGCTCAACTCAGGGATCTCTCCAGGTCCTTCCCAAGGCTCTCCCGCCCAGGGCGGCTCCAGGACTCACCGAAGGACTCGTTGACAGGCAGGTAGGCCTTGACCACGAACATGGGGGTCCCGGCCACCTGGGTCTCCTCAAACACGTGGCCACGTTTCCTGTTCAGCACCCCATAGATGCCTCCGACCACCTGCTCCGGGCACTGCGAGGGAGAGCGGGGTCAGGACTGCGCCCACCCGCTGTCCCCCCTTCCCCTTCCCTGGGGGCTCTGGCACTCCAGGACAGGCTCCTCACCTGGATCTCCACCAGGTAGATGGGCTCCATGAGGCGTGGCTGGGCCGTGAGCACGCAGGCGTAGAGGCAGCGCCGGGCCGTGGGGATGATCTGGCCGCCGCCGCGGTGGATGGCGTCGGCATGCAGGGTGACGTCGTGCACGTCGAAACGCACGGCGCGCATGTTCTCCTCGCACAGCACCCCCTGCCAGGGCACAACGGGGTCACACAGTGCCACCCCGGGGCACTCGGGGCCCCCACACGGGGCTGCTGCTCCCCTGGCTCACAGGAGCTCCCTGGAGCAGCAAGGGCCCACCCAGGAGCCACTCAACCTCGCTGAGGGATGAACCTTCAAACCTACAGAGCTTGGACTCTTGGAGGTCTTTCCCAACCTAAGGGATCTGGGGAGCACCAGCTCCCACCCCTGCAGCATCCTCATGATCAGCTCTGAAGTTCAAGCCACAACAGCTGTCACACATTTATGGTGCTGAAACCCAAGTATTTGGCCAAGGGAAATGTTGGTTTTTTGTCCCAGTAACGTCACAGAAGTTGCTGGCTTGGAATCTCCTTCAGACTGAAACTCAGTGCTGTGCAAGAAAATTAATTCCCCCTGTTGCTGTTCTCAGTCTGTCAACTTATCCTGCAGCCCTCTCCTGTCTAACCTGAAAATAACTGGTAGGTACGGCCAGATCCCTGTCAGGCCTCTCTGAGCACCTCTCCTTCTGAGGCCAGCTGTGTTATTCACCTGGACTGTTCAGATGCCGCTTTCTGCTCCATGAGAAGCTTAAAAAACACAAGGATGTGTACGCAGACCAGGACACCACCCCTCACCTCCTTGGTGGCCCACTGGAAGCCGGCCACCACGCTGTCCTTGATCTCGTTGAGGTACTGCACTCCCTTGGTGATGTCGGTGAGGATGTTGGGGCCGGTGCCGTCGGGCCCGAAGCACCAGATCTTCCTGGCCTCGGTGACGTCCCACTCGTACTTCTCGGCCAGGTACCGCGCCCGCTGCTTCAGCTCCTGCCGCGCCGACACCTCGCCCTTGTCGATGTCCTCGGCCAGGCCGTCGGGGAAGGGCCGGGCCTTCATGTACAGCCGGTTGTGTTTGTTTGGGGACTTGGAAAGGCACATCACGTTGGACTCCTCGCTGACTGTCTCGCGGTAGGACACCACGGGATCCGATTTCTGCGGGGACAGAGGGCGTGTGAGGCACCAAACCCGGCCAAAGCCCCACCCCGAGCTCAGCCACCACTCAGCCTCTCTACCTTGATGGGGATGCAGGCGTGGTCCTCCTCCAGGTCCTTCAGGCAGATCTCCAGGTGCAGCTCCCCAGCGCCAGCGATGATGTGCTCCCCAGACTCCTCGATGATGCACTGCCAACACCAGGAACAGCAGGTGAAGCTTCAGAATGAACCACAGCCACAAACACCAGCAACTCTCCATGGGTTTTCTATGTTTGACCCATAGAGCTACTTCCACATGTTCCCCCCACTGATCTGGGGGTGGCACAGCGCCAGCCAGGGCGCAAGGCAGGGACCAACACTCAAGACTTTGCCAGTACTGGAGGCAGCACCCCTGGATCCATTCCTGCCACTCACCTGCACCATGGGGTCAGACTTGGCCAGGCGCTTCAGCCCCTCCACCAGCTTGGGCAGGTCGGCCGGGTTCTTGGCCTCCACGGCCACGCGCACCACGGGGCTGACGCTGAACTTCATCACCCTCATGTTGTGGGCGTGCTCGAAGGTGGTGATGGTTCCAGTCTTCACAAGGAACTGGTCCACGCCCACCAGCCCCACGATGTTTCCACAAGGCACGTCCTCAATGGGCTCCACGTAGCGGCCCATCATGAGAATGGTCCTAAAGGCAAAGCTGGATTAGTGAGGCTGGGAAGGGGAGGAGATCCCACTCAGGCACCTCGACAGGCCTCAGACACAGAAGAGACATGAGACAGCACCAGAACCCCAAACCTGAACCCCTCGACACCCCAGCCAGGACACACCTTTGAATTGGCTTCAGGTACAGATCTTCCTTCTTGCCAGGTGTGTAGTTTGGTCCCATGATTCTGACTTTCAAGCCAGTGGAGACGAGACCAGAGAAGACACGGCCAAAAGCATAGAAACGTCCCTTGTCAGAGGTTGGCACCATTTTGGAGATGTACATCATCAGGGGGCCTTTGGGGTCACAGTTCTTAATGCCTGGGAGGAGGAGAGAGATCAGCTTAGTCCAGGAGTTACTGATATATCTGGCAGCCACCCCAAAACCCAGCTCAAGACCAGCACCCACTGCCCCAGGCTGAGGGGCCAGCCTGTCTGGACAACAGGACATGGAGAATGGCTCCCACTGCCAGAGGGCAGGGCTGGATGCGATATTGGGAAGGGCTTGCTCCCTGTGAGGGTGGGCAGGCCCTGGCACAGGGTGCCCAGAGCAGCTGTGGCTGCTCCTGGATCCCTGGCAGTGCCCAAAGCCAAACTGGATGGGGCTTGGAGCAGCCTGGGCCAGAGGAAGGTGTCCCTGCCATGGGTGGGGATGGGGCTGGAGAACTTTCAAGATCCCTTCCAACCCAATCCATTCTGTGATTCCATGGAAGATCACATCACCAAGAGATGTTTGCAACAAATCCAGGCTGAGCGCCACTAGAACTGTTGGATCCATGCTAAAAAAGCTAGACTCAATTCCAGACACTGCCGAGCTGTGCACGTGGAGGGTTACAGGCACACTGGAGCTGAGGCCTGGCAGCAAAGAGCAGCAGCTCGTCCTACCTATGGCAGCCTCATCATCGGGGGGGCCCTCGTAGAGCAGCTCGCAGCGATACTTCTGGGCTGTGACAGGGGAAGGCAGGTGGATGGTGATCATCTGCAGCAGGGCATCTCCAGCTGGCAGCCACCGCCTCATCACGGCCTGGGCAGAGCAGCAGGACCCAGTCAGAGCGCTCTCAACAGGGATTCACCTCCCCGTCCCTCCCCGCCTCCTGATGTTGACACAGCTGGAGCAGCACAACTGCTCAGCTGCTCCCCAGAGGACTCAGACCAGCCTCACCTTCAGCAGGGGCTTGCCCTCCTTGTCCTTGTCCTCACTGTCCAGCTTGATGTCCAGTTTCTCGATCAGTTTAGCCGCCTCTTCCTTCTTGAAGTTCATGATTGCATCGAAAACCTGCGACAAGAGCAGCCGTTGGGAGCGCTGCCGTGACCCAGTTTGGAGCAGCTGCACCACTGCACCTGCAGAGAATTCCTGCTCCTCCTCAGCACCCAGCCTCCCTCCAGGAGACACCTGCCCCCAGATGTGTCAGACAGCTGAATTTCTTCAATCAAACAAGTCAGGTCAAAGTGAAGAAATTTTCCATCATCACGCACGGAACAGAAGCGCAGAGCAGCCGGACAAGGAGGAACCCTGAGGAACTCACCTTGAAGATGGGGTCAAGGATGAGCTGGCAGAAGGTCCTAGGCAGTTTCTTTCCATCAGGGCTGGTGGCAGATTTGCTGAACTTGCCAGTAGCAGGGTCAAAGTACCTGCAGAGAGAAGGAAACAGACAATGTCCACACTCGAGTAGACACGCAGCTTGTTCTGCCTGCTCAGGGCAGGGCCAGGGGCTGCTGAGGAACTGCCAGCTCCTGCTTTCCCCCTTATCCAGCTTTCCAACACCCACCAAGTCTGAATTAACTCCTGTTAAACCAGGCACAACCACATCCTCCCCCCCTTTACCCATCCCCTGCAGTGTCAGGCTCTGCCATGCACAGCTGGAATTCCTACCAGCACCTTTCCCTCCTCACCTGTCTCCCCACAGCTTCTTCATCATGTCCTCAACTTTCTTGGCACGCTCGGCTGGGCTGAGCTGGGCATCTCCCTTGGCAGCAAACTTTGCCACGTACATCTCAGCAAACTGCTTCAGGGTGAAGGCCCAGCCGTGCAGGCCCGAGCCAAAGCCCACGGTCCCGAGCACCGGGTCAATCTGAGAGGAGACAGCAGAGCTGGGTCAGACCCCTCAGTCCATCCCATCCCAAAAGCTCTCCAGTACAAACTGGAGCTTCAGGACACCGAGAGTCCCAAGCGGTTCTGTCGCAGCGAGCACGTTTGAGGTCTGGGACAGGCACCATTTTAGCTTTGCACCACAGAACGGGGCTGGTTTTCCTCCACCCCCAGCAGGTGGAGATTCACATGCAGGTAGGATTCCCACCCTTCCCAGGAGGATCAGGAAGGCATGGACAGCTCCAGCGTGCAGGAGTCCAGCACAAGCTTCTCCTCAGAACCTGTGGCCCACAGCCCTGCTCCCTTCCCAGGAGCCCAGGAAGAGCAGAGCAGGTGGGAAGGGACCTTAAAGACCATCCCATTCCACCCCTGCCATGGACACGATCCCAGGGCACTCCGAGCCCTGTCCAGCCTGGCCTTGGACCCTTCAGAGACTGGGCAGCCACAGCTGCTCTGGGCAACAATCCCAGCCTTTATTTGCTCAGGCCTTGAACAGGAAATTTGGGAGGGGAGCCAGCGAGAGCCCCAAGCCTGGGAGTTCAGGCACCTTCAAGAACCCCCTCTCCTCCACCTGGGCTAAGGAATTACCACTGAGCAGGGTAACCCAAGGGTCTCAAGCCAAGCCCAGCGCTCAGAGCCTCCCCTCACCATGATGTTGCCCATGGGGCCGCTCTCTCCCTCTCCGTAGGTGGAGATGATGACGTTGACGTTCTCCACAATGCGCTGGAAGGTCTGGTACAGCTCCTCTGGCTCCAGCTGCAGCTCCAGCAGCGCTCGGTCCATCTTGTTCATCATCAGCACAGGCTTGATCCTCTCGGCGATGGCCTGACGCAGCACAGTCTCTGTCTGCACGCACACGCCTGCCAAACGCACAATCAGTTAGGAATGAGTTATCCCCCTCTCCAAATTCCCCCAAAATACGCTCCAGCTGCAGAAAACCTCACCAGAGACACAGTCCACGACGACCAGGGCACCATCAGTGACTCGCAGAGCTGCAGTGACCTCTGAGGAGAAGTCCACGTGCCCAGGGGAGTCAATGAGGTTGATCAAGAAACCAGAACCATCCTTGCTCTGCTTGATGAAGGCCAAGTCGTTCTCAGAGAGCTCATAGAACAGAGAAATAGCTCTGAAAGAAAGGAGAAACTATTAAAATGATGATCTGTGTTATTCCTCCCTAAAGCTCAGAAATATTTTGCCACCACTGAAGGTGGCACCCAGCGCTCTGCTCTGGTTGACAAGGTTGGAGTTGATGACCTTGGAGATCTTTTCCAACCTAAATGCTGGGCTCCGGGGTTTCCTGAAGTGTGTGGGAGATAACAGGAACGCAGGCTACAATCTACCCTTCCTAAACCATAACATCCTCCAGAATCCAAACCTCCTCCAACTCCCTGCAGTTCTCCAGCACCCATAAAGGGTTCCAACCCCAAATCACAGATTTAGGCTTTTCCTATTAATCCAAACTATGTTCTCCACCCCTTTTCAGGCCCATCCTCACACTCCCCGTGGCAGCACAGCCAACAGGAACATCCCCAGTGATGCTCCCAAGAGTCTCCACACCGCATCCATGCGACATCCAACAATCCTGGGGCTGAACTGGGGGGATGAAGCTCCTTCTTCCCCAGTGCCCAGCACGGAACTGCTCAATGACCGAGCAGAAGCCGATCAACACTTGCTCCATCATTCAAAACCCTCAGGAGCACGAGCTGAGCTTCTGGACTAGCCCAGATCCCAACAGCACCTTCTTCCAGCTCCTGGAGGAGCCCAGTCCTGCCGGAGCTCAGCCCAGGGAACAGCAGGAGCCTGAGGGGAGGGCACTCACGTGGATTTGATGGTGATGCACCGCTCCTGCTCGTCCTTGCGGGTGTCGGTGAACCGGGTCTCCCCAGCACGCGCCGAGGCGATGATCCCGGCCTTGCACACCAGGGAATCAGTCAGCGTGGATTTGCCGTGGTCCACGTGGGCGATCACGGACATGTTCCTGATGTTGGCCTTTTTGTCCATGATGGCCCGTATCTGGTCTACTGTGAAGTTCACCTTGAGGGAGGAGAGAAGGGAGACTCAGCGTCTACGGAAACAGCTCTGGCAATTCCAAGGAATCCCAATCTCCCATAAATACCTGCCATAATCACGGTGACACCGACTCTGCCTGGGTGACAACACAACCCGCAGCGAGGGCGCTGCAGCCGGGCTGCAGCACCAACCCCTCCCGGCCCCAGCGTCCCTCAAACCGCGGTGTCAGCAGGTGCTGGGCGCAAATCGCCCGCAATACCGAGCCCGGGCCGGTGCCGGTGCCAGCCCAGACCGCAGCGTTACATAAGACACGAACGGCACCGCAGCGCCCCGTCCCCGGCACCGCCACATCAGCGCGGCCGCTCCCGGGGGGCAACGGCAGCCCGGGCACCGGCACCGGCGGGTCCTGCCGGCTCCGGGAGTGTCACGGCCGCCCGGGCCGGCCCCCTCTCGCCGCCCCACCCTCTCCCCGCAGCCGCGGCCCAGCCCGGCAGCACAGGCCGCAGCCGCCGCCGTGCGATCCGCGGCGCTCGCGGAACCGCCATCCCCGGCGATACGGGAGGCGCGACGGCCGCTCATCCCGCCGGGAGCGGCGGCGGGTGGCGGGGGCTCACCATGGTGGCGGATGGCGGCGGATGCTGCGGGGCGGGGGGGATCACGGCAATGGCGGCGGCTCGGCCCTGTCTCGCTGGCGAGCGCAGAGCGGGCGGAAGAGAGCGCTGACGTCAGCCGGCGCGCTCTTATAGGGCGGCACCGCCGAGGGGCGGGGCCTGCGCCGAGCGCGTGCGCGGCAGCGCCGCTCTATCCCGCGGACTCTATGGTCGGGAGGCTGTTCCGCCTCGCCGGCACCACGTGCGTGTCACCGCGGCTGCACCGGGACTTCAGCGAGGCGACACCGGGAGAACAGCGACCGGCAGCGACAGCTCCGCCCCGCCCGGGCTGCAGCGGTGGGGAAAGTCCGCCCCTCCCGCTGCCGGTGTGGGAACCGGCCCGCGGTACCGCGGTCGGTGAGGCCGCTCTCGGAGCGGTATCACCGAGCGGTAGAGGAGCACGGGGCTTCGGCTAGTAGGAGAAGGCGGTAGGGCCGAGCCCGGTGGCAGGCAGCGGTCCCGGGCACCGGTGGGTCCGGCCCGCCCCGGTCCCGCAGGGTGCGCGCACTGCGCATGCTCCGGGCGGGCCGGTGCTGCAGCGCCCCCTGCGGGCGGGAGGAGCGCGGGGACTCCGGTACCGGCCGGACCCCCCGAGCCCCGCTCGGTGCCACCGGGACCGCGTCCCCTGACGGCCCTGGGCGCCCTCATCGGCCTTCGAGCTCACAAAAACCATGGAGTCATGGAAGGGACATGGAGGAACATCCAGTGCCACCCCTGCCATGGCTGGGACACCCCCCACTTCCATGGGCCTCCAAGCTCCATCCAGCCTGGCCTTGGACATTCCCAGGGATCCAGGGACAGCCACAGCTGCTCCGGGCACCCTGTGCCAGGGCTTCCCCACCCTCCCAGAGAACAATTCCTTCCCAATATCCCATCTGTCCCTGCCCTCTGGCAGTGGAAGCCATTCCCTGTGTCGTGTCCCTCCATCCCTTGTCCCAAGTCTCTCTCCACGTTTCTTGTGGGGTCCCTTCAGGTCCTGAAGGCCACAATGAGCTCACCCCAAAGCTTTTCTTCACCAGGTTGAACAATCCCAATTCTCAGCCTTAATCCCCACATCACCTCACTGGCAGCTCCCAAATTCCCGGCACGTTCCCAGTCTGTGTGAGGCAGGGACAGGCAGGACGGCGATGGAGCTGAACCCAGGACGGGTTTGGGCCCATCTCACCCTGACAGGATGAATTATCGGCCTTTAGGGTTTCCATAGCAATCTGGTGGATTTTTAGCACCAACCGAGGCTTTTCCCAGCCTAGAAGGGAAAACTGGGAAACCCGATTAACATCCTGCTTTTCCTGCGAAACTGTTAATTGCCTTTTTGTTTAATTAGTATGTGGGGTTGATGGCAAGGGGAGGAAAGTGCTGGAAAACCTCTTGCAGTGCAGCGTTTCACCCCAAACACTGGAGTTACCCTGAAGATGATCCAGTCCAACTCCTGGCCCTGCAGAGACACCCCAACAATCCAAACCTGTCCCAGAGCTCTGTCCAAGGGCTGCTGGAGCTCTGGCAGGTTGGGAATGTGCCCATTCCCTGACCTCCATCCCAAATTCCTGACACAGCCCCAGCCCTGGCTCCTGGTATCAGAGCAGAGATCACAGCTGCCTCTCGGGAGAAAGCTGCCAAATACAGTGTATTTATTATTGTTGTTATTATTATAATGATCATTAATATTCTATAAAGGTATTTTTAATAAGCGATGGGTTAAGTTGCAGAAGGGAGCACAAACACTGGCTGGGGTAGGAGGGCTGGGGGTTCTCTGGGACGTCGCTGCCACCGAGCCAATTTTGGCCAGGAGATCCCCATCCCCATCCCTCCCTTCCCGGGGCACCGGGACCCTTCCCCATCCCCATCCCTCCTCTCCCAGAGCGCGCTGGGAGCCCCCCCAGCTCTTCCCTCCTCACCGGGGACGGCCCGCAGGGCACCGGGACAGCGGCGGAGCCTCGGGCCGAGCCCACCGGGCCCTGCCCTGCCCCGGGGGCACCCACCTGCCGCCATCTTGGGGCAGCACCCACCGCCTGCCCACCCACTCCCCCTCCCGCCGTGCCTGCGGGGCCGCCCCCATCCCCGCCCCCGCCGCTGTTGCTCCGGTGCGCCCCCGGTTTGCGGAGCGCGGCCCCTTTAAGACTCCCGGGGAGGCGGGGCCTGGCGGGGCGTGGCTCGAGGGCGTGGCCGAGGAGCGAGGATCGCGCGCGCGAATTGGGCGGAGCGCGCGGTGCGGCCCCGCCCACCCCCGGCGCGAGGGCGTCACGTGACCCGGCGGCGGCGCCCGGCGCGGTGGACGCTGGAGGCCCAAGATGGCGGCGGAGCTGGTGGAGGCGAAGGTGAGGGAAGCGGCGCCGCCGCCCCGCCCGCGGGGCCCGGCCGGCACCGGGCGGCTCCCGGCGCGGGGGGACGGCGGGGGGCGGCGCTCCGAACCGCGGGGGCGGCGCTCCGGGGCCGCCCTCTCGCCTTTTTACCTCAGAGACTGCCCCGCCCCGGCCTCAGGGCCGCAGCCCCCGCCGGACCTCCTGGGGCCGAACCGGGCCGGGCCGGGCCGCGGTGCTGCCCGCCTTCCTCGGGGCTGTCCCCGCGCCGGGCCTCCCCCGCTGATTCCCGCGATAAAGGATGGCCGGGGCTGCCCCCGCGCCCCCCGGGCCGGCTCCCGCTGCCCTCTCCGGGGGTGGGGCGGCTCGGTGCGGAGCTGTCCGGCGGGCGGGGGTCGGGGGAGCCGCTGGGACGGGCAGTGCCGGGGCCAGGGGCGGCCCAGGGCCTCTCTGGGATGCGGTGAAGCAAAACCATGCTTGGAGTTGTGTTTCCAAGGCGGTTTGTGGCTCGCTTCAGGCCCGGGGAAGGGGACCGGGAGGTTTTCCCGTTCCCCTCGGGATCCCGGTTCTGTGGCAGCCGCTGCTGAGGGCACTTAAGAAGCAATGGCAGCGACCAGGGAGCGTTCCCTGGAAGTGTTCCTAAGGAAGTGTTCCCTGGGAAGCGTTCCCCGCCCGCAGGAGCAGCTCCTCGGCAGGGATGGGGCTGGGTGGCCTCAGGAATCCCAGCGGGAGAGGCTTTTTTGGGGTGCTCTGCCCTCCTCCTGCGATTTCAGAGGGGGAAATGCGATTCCCAGGCATCGTGGTCGCCCCAGGGGTTTTTGGTGGGGTCTGAGCCGTCCCACACGAGGGTTCCTGAGAGGAGGAACCCCCAGGAGTGTCGGGGATCTCGGCAGTCCATGTGCTCCCCCTGCTCTCACGGGGCAGGTCGAGCCCTCGGTTTGCTTTGTCTGGGTTTTGTTGTTGTGTTGCTGCTCAGATCTCATCATCCTGCTGGGCCTTCGTTCCTTCCAAATGGAAACTCTGGGCTCCAGCTCCACTTCCCACCCCAGGAGTCCTGGGTGAGGTGCTCTAGGGGCAGCTCCCGCAGGAGGAATTCCTGTCTCCTGTGCTCCTGGGATGCCCTGGTGCCTCCTGCTGCTGTGTCTTGATGAATTTTTCTTTCCAAATACACCTTTTATGCTCAAATCCCTCAGGGAGAACAACACTCTCCCCATTTCCTAACACAGCTTAATGATCCTGGTGGGATTTGATCAGACTGGCTGATCTTTGAGGTATTTTCCAACATTAATGATCCTGATTCTGTTTTTTAGTTGAAGAAAACTGAGGCACAGAGTAGATTTCTCCAGGATTTCACAGGTGGTGTCTGCTGGAGCAGCACCATGAATCCAGGGCTCTGAAATCCTGACTCTCTCTGGCAATTAAACATTTTCTTCTCTCCTCTTTAGTCATCAGTCTTTTTTTTCCCTCATCAGGGATATTTTGGGAGTCATCACGACTCCCAGAAGTTCTAACTACAGACAGTGACATAACAGCTTTTGGGTTTTCAGATTAAATGACATATGTAAGGGAAAAGGAGAAAATCAAATGGCATTTTCTCTCATCTAATTCCCACACATCCAAAAGTGGCAGTGAAACATTTCTGGAAACAGTTGTAGCTTTCTTAATTTAAAAAAATCTGTAGCTGCTTTATTCCAGGAAATGATAAGGTTGTTAGATTATATTTTATGCTTTCTTTTTAATTATTAATTCAGGAGTGGGGTAGAGGTTGGGGAAGATCTGCTGGATCTTCGCTGCTGTTTTTTTTAGTGGGATTTCTTCTTGAATTCCCGTATTCCTCACAAACCAGGAAGGATGTGGAGTGAATATATGTGGATATCAACCAAATTAATTTCCAGGGCATCTTGAATTTTCCAACCCATGTACTTTATAAGCCCTTTTTTTGCAATTCAAAGGCTGTTTGGTGTTTAGGGAACTGAAATGCCAACCTGGAGCTGTGGGTTTAACAGGAGGAATTCCTGGTTTCTGGTGGGAAGTTGCCTTGTGGCCTTTGACTCTGCTGACAGTTACAGACCTGAATTGCCACAGAGAGGGAGTTTTCGAAGACTGAGCTGGGTTTTGCTGCTTATCAGACGCTGAAATTGATAATTCCAGTGTGACACCAAGGCAGCTCCTGGCTGGGTTCACAGGGAAGTGCTTGGCATTGTTCTCCTGGGAACACACTGCTCCCTTTAGCAATCTGAATATCCTTCCATACTCTAAAATACGTGGTTTTTTAAAGATCCCGTGGCCGTAGGGAGGATTCTGGAGGGGTTTTCCCATCCAGAAATCCAGGAGTGGTGGCCCCAGTTCGCCTCAGCCTCTCCCAGCTCGGATTGATTTTCTTCCTGTGCCTTGCACTGACACCATTTGGGATGAAGTTTTCCATATTTCTCTGGGAATTTTGGATGCCTCAGAGTTCATGAGCTCTTTCACAAGTGAGGCTCTTGGTTTAGATCTCTGAGGTCATTCCTGCTTCCAGCTGAGCTGTCTTGAGGATGCTTAGCACTGTCAAAGTGATTTTTGAGTCATTTGATGACTGTGCTGGTGGTTTTGTCATTTAGGTGATATTTCAGTGGGTGATCTCTGCGTTTGTGTTGCTCAAACAAGAAATGGGAACCAAAATCAGGTGACAGCCGCGGGTTTGGACAGGTGTGGGGTCTTTCTTTGAGGGAGAATTTTTAATATCTTGCCTTGTAGTTATAAAATGAGAACTGCACTTTTGCC